GTAATAAACCTAAAGGCACTCTGATACACTGCCTCAAGTGGTTTAAGGACCAGGGTGGATGCATGCATACAAGGCAAATTTGCATTATCTAACACCGACAGCATATGGGCCAATTTCCCTCCCACTCACCACTGTCTGTGTTGACCCTTGACCCATGTCGCTTCTCAGATGCTGACTGGATATCTGTTCTGCACGCATCAGATACTCTGCAGTCTTCTTCTTCACTGCCTCTCGCCGCGTGGGACTGGGCTCACCTGAAAAGTGAGATCCATAATTCTTCTTTATGAAGCAGTTTGTGTAGTGTAGTGTTCAAAGTTTCTGTACCAGCATTTTATTTACTGACAAAACAGCATGTTATAACAGTGACAGTAAGTAAAAGTGGTTTGTGAGAAGTAGAAGTGGGTTTTGTTTTGGCACTTCCACAATAAGGCGCAAGATCAGAGTCATTGGTTACTCTCTACAGCTCTGCCGCCACCCAGCTGCTAGTGTGACCAATGGAGGGCAGATTAATAGGAATGATGGTGTGCATAAATGCGCATTCCATTTATTTTTTACTCTCATATTTTTTTCTATTAGCAAATCTTACTGCTCCTCCCCCAGACTACATACGTCAATGAAACGTTTCCGCACTTTGTACAGACTATGAAGGATTAGTTATAAATATGCCCAAATTTCTCACTGACCGTCGAGTTTGATTTCACATTTTCACATATCTAAATAAACCTGAGTTTCAGTTTCACACTTCTCTCCTTTGGTCTCTCACTCACTCTCCTGTTTCTGGTTTAGACACATTCTTCATTAAAGGTGTATCTCCTGTAAAATGCTGAGCTAACTAGGGAATCAGATTACTTTTGCAGTTGAATTAACTTTTTTTTAACTTACTGATTTAACCGTAAGTTAAAAAGCACAAAGATACCTGTATATGATTTCGGCAAAACTAAATCTGCACTTGAATAATTGTCCCTTCTTTCTTCAACTTTGGGTAACCAGAGGAAAGAATGTATCAATTGACTGCCTGACCTCACAGAAAAGTTACCCAGCTCTCTCCCAAACTGACCTTGCACTCCTTGCAGCAGCAGGTCCACTCCGCTGCGATAGCAGGAGAAAGCCGCCTGGAAGTCCTGCTCTTTCTCCTTCTGTACAGCCAAACAGATGAGCTCACTGGCTCTGTCTAGGTAGTCTGACTTCACGTCCTTAGGGTTGACACTACCGCCTTTCTTCAGACTACCGGGAAAGAGTGACGTTCGGCCTGGCCAGCTGACCTCTGGGTTAGGGGCTGAGGAAGCAGGAACTGGGGCAGGAGATGGGGTGCGGCGATTGTGCAGGGAGGGCAAGCGAGGGCTGCAGCTGCTGCTAATGTTGGTGGCTCCCCCCTGTGGCTGGTTTGGGGAGGTGCGACCTGAGGCCATGCCATCATCCAGCCCAGCCAAAGAGTCTGTATCCACAGCCAAGGATGTCAGGTCGCTGTCACTGGAAGGGCCTGGGACGAATACAATGCTAGGGTTAATACAGGCGGATAAAGACACAAAACTAAAATCTAAATGAGCTCTAACGTAGGTAGGTGCTATTTTGATGCTTAAATCCACTTTACCTCCATACTCAGATGTGATAGTCAAATCATCTGCACCACTGATGTCTCTTTGAACTGAAAAAAACATTTGCACACATCTGTGAGCAAGTGTGAACTAACAGTCATTGTAAATCCTGAAGAAGAATGATTGTGAGGAAGAGTTATAGTGTGTAACCCTACCGTCAGAGCTGCAGTCTGATAAACTGTCTGCCAAGAAGTCAGAAAAGGGTTCAGCTGGTCCAATGAGCTCCGAGCCGTCGTGGACCTCACCTCCCTTGAAAAGAATTAGAAACACTGCAGTCCGTCGTCTCCGAGGGAGAATGTTTGTGTTTCTGCGTGTGTGTGTGTGTTTGGGTACCTTGAAGAAATCTTGGATGTGCTGACTGCTATAGAGAGTAGGGATATTAGCGGAGAACTGTAACAGATCCTCAGAGCACTGCCTTCTTTCCTCGATTACTGAGTCGTCAAAACGGCCTGCACATGCATACATGGATAGAAAGACACATGCACACACACATATAGCCTTTAAGTGATCATGGCAAGAATGAATAATGGTTACTGACTGAGTAATAACACTAAGCTGCCTTAAGGGGGCAGAGTTATCACTAAGGTCCAGCATTTATTATCTTGTACTACAGAAAAGTTACTACAGCAGTTTTTCTGTGGTCACTTTAGAGAAGATCGCTAACACTAACAACCACATGTTAAGGTAACAGAGGACCAAAACAATCAAACGGTCAAAAAGGTGGATTTACACATCTAGGTCTAATGCAAGCATTAAAAAAAAAGGACTAGCATTTGGTCTCTTTACCTTTGTCAGGACTTTAATTAAATGTTTGACACAAGGGAATCAAGGGGTTTAGTTCCTTACCAAAGACTTTGGCCCTCGCAAAGGGAGGAAACAGCTCTGACTGGCTACATACATTCTTGTGCAGCTGCCAGAGGTTTTGATGAAGTTTTCGGAAATCACTGTATCTCTTCCATACTGTTATCTACGAGAGAGAGAGAGAGAGAGAGAGAGAGAGAGAGAGAGAGAGAGAGAGAGGATGGACAAAGAGATCAATTTTTGGGTTTAAAAATGTGTGAAGCTTCTCCAAATGGATCATATAAAGTTTGTTTACCACTGCTTGGGTTCATTATGTCTTGTTAAAGTCAATAAAAAATGTAGAACTTTACAGAACTCTATAGCCTGAAAGACTGAGACTCATATCAGTCAAACTCATATGACGAGTGAAATTCCTCATCTCAAGCTATTTTGTGCAATGAAACAGAAGCCAAACCATTCATACACAAACCTGGATGCAGTCATTCCTCCCTCACTCAGTGGGATAAAGCAAAACAAAATGGCCTAATGTTGAGATGAAAAATAAAATCTAAAATCTTGGCCAGTCTGCTGCTGTGAGAAAAACTGGACTGAACACCACTCCCAAACAGGAGCACTGCTCAATAATGGAGGTATGTGTGTGCAAAACTCTTTCACTGTCTCTTAGAAACACATGCAGTAATTGACATCATGCCTGCTGCATTAGCACTGGTTCCAGGCTTGACTGCATTCCTCAGCGTGTGTCAAATGTAAGACAACATACATGGGTGTTTTTACTGCATTCTCATAGATACATTGGGTGAAAGGGGAATAGTCAAATGTTTGGAAAAACTTGTTGTTTAGTTAGTTGTTTTGAGCACAGATGTGAGAGGCTGTGGACAATGTAGGCGTAATGCCGAAGCCTAATTCTTGGCTTTTTAAATTAATTATTTTTCCACTGAAATTTCTGGCCAGAAAAATGAAGCTTTGCTTTATAAAATTGTGTAAGGAGATTAATAAGAAACGTTGAGCCACACAGAACTCACACAGCCTCTGACCACATATTTACTTGTGTAACTTTCAATTTGTTGTTGCTGAGATAACCAAAATCTTGTATTATTTACAAAGTAGCAGTATTATATACACAGTAGCAGTCCTTATCCTCCAACCCTGCAGGGAAAATTTCCTTCAAACTCTTCAAGAAAGAAAGTCAACTGCCTGCCATTGCTTTGCACACTCACAAAGTCACAATATAAAAATAATGGCTGCATGTCTTACCTCTTGGACATCCTCTGGGCTCTTCCTGGAGATTATCTGTGTGTGGAAGCGGGAGAAGAAAACTCAAGGCTTTAGAGTCTCCATGTGAGTGATTTCTATCTACAAAGATGTCAGAGCTGGTCTCTTGTGAGAGTGGCACAAAAGCATGAGCAGGCACACAGCCCTGACCGTGACAATGAGTGCATTATACAGAGAATGACGGAAGTCTTGAGAGTAAGAACGAGACATCACCAACATTCATAACAAGCAGGATGACAGGCAGGCAGAGACAAAGAAACTCAGCCTGTTCTTGTCCTAACTGATTAAACTGGGAGTCTACCCATGTCTTTGTAAAATCCCAGCACATACTGGATTCATTTCATCATCAAAGGACTCACTTCCCTATACCAGCTTGATCTGTGAGTTGCTGCATATTATTAATGGGGACAGGGAGCCATGCTCACAAATGAAAGCAAATTAGAGTATGACAGCACCTGACTCTGTGAGATAGATACAGGATGTTTAAGCTATTGTCATGTGACTTCTTAAGTTGCTTTGACATTTTTCAATCCCAGCTTCAATAGACTTCAATAGTTGGGACAATAACTAATAAATAAAAAACCGTTACATCAAAGCATATCTCTGGGGAACTAGACTCAAAATATAATGACAATATGAATCACCTATCTAGTTAAAGGACAGGTTTAAGATGCAGCTCCTTAAGGCTCGTTGTAACGTTGCATACACCACTAACTAAGCTACATAGTTAGCTATCTAGCTGTTAACACTGGTCAACAAAGCGTTTAGGTCTGGCTAATGTGGCTAATGTAAGTTAGCTACTAGATAATTCCCTATTGGTAAAAAACAACAACAAACAAACATATTTTAAAATATAACGTTACGCAAGTCTGAGTGTGTCTGTTAGTTACATATGTGGTGTTCACAAAAGCTGTTACCATTGCCGGCTAATCCTCAAGAGGTTAAAGTAACGTTACTTGTGTTTGCATCATATTAGCTTGGTTAGCACAGCTGAAGCTACACAGCGAGCTGGCTAACAACACATAGCATTAGCCTTGGTGTCAGAGAGTCCACCGTCCCTGTACTTACCCTTGCGGTGACTTTGTACACAGTATAGCCTTTCTGGTGCTTTTTAGGATCTGTGACAGTATAAAAACGAGCAAGTTCTCCTCTGTCCCGCTGCGATATCATTCTGATAGTGACAACATTGCCAAAGCTACCAGCCGGCTAGCCGCTCACATTCATCCCCTGACAGCACAGTGACAGGCAGGCAAATAAGTTAGAGCTCCCCCTTGAGGAAACTCCCTGCTATTGCCACTTGCATCCACTTTTTCTAGATTGTAATAACACCAGTTTTCTTTATTATTTGGGATATAATTTTTTTTAATTGAGTGATTATTACATTATTGCCTCTTTTATATAACTCATACACATTTAAAAATAAGAAATTAATGCTTACAGTGCATATAATGAACACAGCACAAACCGAGAAACATGCATATGCATATGTTAGTGCCATATATTCTAATGCATAATCATAGCATATGAATGGACTGAATGAGAAATATATAAAATAAAGTAGAGTTGGAATAGTGTACTATACTAATAATGTAAGTGCATTGGTATTAAGTTACATATTTGATCATATATGGTGAAATAAAACTACTATAAAACTGTATACATGGAGAATGAAGTTAACTGACATGTCTCCAGGCACATATGGCCAAAGCATTTTGTGCTTTTATGAAACAGAGATTAAAATAAGAAAGGAATTGAAATGTTAATATCATAATCAATATGAAAGTTGCTGAATAATATGACACCCAATTTGAGATTATCAATTAATAGCAAAGAGAAAAATATATGCAATATGAATATGGTATACAAACAACAGAGATTCAACTGTGCCTCCCTTTATCAATATTGCACTGCTTTTGATCCATTGTTCACACAGCCACGTTACATTATTGCAATCCAGAGGAGGAAAAGCATGATTCCAGCTGGGTTCACAATCCAAGAAGTGCAGAGTCGGCTTGACGCATTGATATTCATACAAGTGACAGTCGGTGTCTTCATCATCTCCCGGATTATGCCATTTTCATTAACTGAGTATTTGTTCTGTGAAAAAGAAAAGATTATATGATATAAAAAAATTACTTCTTTTTATAATATTGCAAAAAACAAGCAATATCAAAAACTGCATTGCTGTCAGTGACTTAGTAACTTAAATGCCACATTTGTATAGGAAGATGGGTAAAGACTTTGTCCGTGATGATGACATACAACTCTCTATACTGTATGAGACACAAATTAAATTAGTGGACACATCAGTCCAAAGTTAATGATAGAAAATAAACTGCATGCATCATTAAAATGATAAAGAAATAGACAAGATAAGGCTTTACATAATCACACAGGAACAGAATAAATCGGAACAAGAGGAAGCATTGAGAGGACTTCAAAAGACCCCCAACAACTTATGAACAATGACCTGTATTTGACCAGTTGCTGATGGGTTGAGGTATAGTTAAATAGTTGAAACACAGTAAGTCTAAAGTTGGAAGGGAAAGCACCAGTTGACAGAAATATTTTATCATCTATAAAGAATAAAATAATAGAGCAAACTTTTGGGGGTATAGCTGTGACTGACAGAGGACTCCACAGTATTTTAAAAAATAAAATTCATCCAAAATATATGAATTTCTCAATTAGATAGTAGGTAGAAAATAAAAGACACAATCAAATAAACTTACATCGTCGTCACTGATAAACTGAATTTGTGGTACAGTCTTTAACAAACTCTCATACTCCACAATTTCATCAGGGTCTAAAGTTGTGGTCTCCTCAGACATCCTGTCAGAAATGAGAAAATAGCTCTTTCAAAAGATCAAGATACATCTGTATGAAAGAAATGTGTGTATGTACTGCATCAGGTCTTACTGGTAGCTTGCATCAATAAACGGATGCGTTGTATCTGGGTGGCTGATGCATGTGGAGATATCGATTGCAGGGTAGTAGAGCATGAAGGCCAGGCACATCTCATCAGTAGTTGCCAACCCCATCTGAAGGAGGAAAACGTGAAACATGGCAGTTATTAAAGACATGAGATTCTCTTTATACATGCAGAGCGTGTGATACCATGGGAACATGATCTAATATTGTAGTAATATGACTTGTATTCTATTGACCGGTAGTTTTATGTTTCTATTAAGACACTAAATGATAGTGTTCATGTTAATGTGTCTACCTCCATTAGGTTTATAGTTCAAATTGTGTGTTTTGTTATATGTGTTTTAACTTTTGTGTGTATGTTGTTTGGAATAATGATATATTGCTGCTGTATATATGGCTCCCTTGAAAAAGAGATTGTATACATTCAGTGAGACATACCTGGTTAAAGGTTGAATAATAAAAAAAATTAAAAGATTCCACATAGATTGACCAATACATATTTCATCATGTTTCATAAAAAGTCTTCATGTTATTTGTGTTTCCTCTTTTTCCTTTCTTCTTTGTTTTTATGGGACAGCACTGATTAATTTGGAGCCCATTTTATGTGTCATACAGTATTTACCAACCTTAGTGACTTTGCTGCGACTGGTAGTGCTGTAGGTGCACTCCACTGCAATCTCATCACCCTGTAATTGGAGACAAGTAATGTGGCATCGAAATCGAAGTTTTTTAACTTGACTATTATGGGCATAACATATGAACATGGGACAATAGGGACTTACTGGCTTAATGGTCTTGATGTTTCCCAAATTGTAGCTCTGCTGCAACTCAAAGTTGTAATTTTCATCCAAGCCCAAGAAGTCGATCTGCTTTCCATTTCTACAAGGACAGAGAGGAAATATGAAATGAGAGTAACACTATGTTTACAAGGAAACAATACAACAATCACTCCTGTCTTTCTTACCTGTAGTGCCCAACTCTGACTTTCCTTCCAGCCAAATGAGTGTGCATCAGCACAGCAAACACTTCAAGTTCAGGAAAAGGATTCACAAGCTAGGAGTGAAAGTAAAGACTATCAGGGACACAGTCACAAACAATCTCCATTAACTACTGCTGCAGTTTGAAATCCATACTGAACCACTACAGACCTTAGAAAACATAGTGGTATTACACACGCCGTAGGTGCGGAATTGAGGGGCTTTTGGAGGGATGTTGTAATCCAAATCGCCAAATTGCAGCACACCTGTGGCCATAATGCCTACATCATACTGTCGGAGTTGGTCTGCATAGTACAGTCTCAGTCCTGAGCTGTCTGTCCTACCTAGACAGAGCCAGACAGACGTTTAAAAATGTTGCACAGAATAAAGAAAAGGAGGCATATGCTCCAGCACTTTGTTTATGCAGTATTTAACACTGTGTTAGTATGAGTGTATACTGTGTGTTGTTGTCCAGAAAGCAGCCAAAGCATGACTTCTTCTTCAAAGCAACTTCTTTTAAAGAGAAATTCCACCAATTTAGTCAATTTACTGATCATAGGTCCATAATGTTTTCTGTGACCTTTAAGCAAGCTCTGTCAAATCTGAGAAAATTACCCTAGTGTTACAATCTATGTATGGCGCGCACAATAATTGTCCATTTACCTGATTCGTTGTTTGGATTATTGTAGTGGACTTCCAGCCTGTAGAACCTATCATTGTCATCACCTCCGAAAGGAATACCCACATTTTCTGGAACCTCAAATGGCTGAGGTTTCAGAGATAGAGAGAACTGTAGGTCAACTTGCACAAGCACAACACTGACATGGATATACACAGAAAAAGACAAAACGAAATAAATAAAACATAGATGGACACTTAATTCTCTCTCACCCCTCCTCCCACTCCCCATACAGCCACAATCCCGAAGCAGGAATCCCCTATGTTGCCCATGTAGCACTGACTGTCATATGGTTCCGTCACATAGGAGGGGCAGCGGTACAGCAGCATGTGATGAACGATGTCAATGTTCTCAATCACTGGTTCAATCTGAGGTAAAGTGAGGAGAGGTTTGGTACAGAAGGTTTCAAGAACAATGAATGAAAAACAAATAAATATGAAAATCATGTGCGTGTTATTATTTTGATGCATTTTAAACCCTGAGTCCAAAACCTGACAGTAGCATATGGGGTGTAAATAAAACATTTGATGTAAGGAACGGCATTGTATGGCTGATTTTGGTAAAGTGGCTGAAGAGTGATGATGGTAATGTGAAGAACGGATGGTTACCCGATATACATGACGTTTTGTACTTAAGGCTGGAAACTTCATGACCTTGCAGTGGTAGTAGGTGTGACTGGACGGGACACTGATCTGTAAAAAAAAATAAATAAATAAAAAATAATAATAATAATAAATAAATAAATGTAACAATATACAACTTGTGTTTGGTTGACTGCAGGTATCAGAATTATATTGATTTTTAAAATTGTTTTCCATCCATTCATTCATTCATTCATTCATTCATCCATCCAACTGCAATGTATTCCAGCCTCTGGTAAACATTAAACTTAATAAGATAAGTAAGCTACAAGGTAAAAAAAAAAAAAGGGAAGAATCTACAAATTTCCCCACAATTTCCACAAACATGTGTTGTCTATTGTTGTAATAACTATTTTGGAATTATTCGTACGTTTTGCACTGAGGCACTGAGATAGTTGGGGTTGGTTACGATCTTCCTGGGAGTGAAGTTCAGCAGGTTGACTTCCTTGGTGCCTCTTCGGCTCTGATGGTAAGCGATGTCATCTGTTAGTCCATAGGCATAGATCAGTTTAATGGGTTGATTCTATAAAAGAGATGGCAACAAATAGTCAACATTTATGATACAATACAAGCAACAACATGAAAGTGCTTTTAATGGGGGGAAAAGAAAGTGGTGTGTTTCTGTGTCCCAAAACTGAAAAATCTTTACTTTAAAAAATAGGTATTTTTTAATTCAAGAATAATGTGGCAGTAGTATAAATGATAAAGAGGCACAACCACAAATGTCACTGCAAACAGTCAGCTCTTATTTTTCAAAAACGTATAGCATTTCAGGTGTTCAATGCACAACAAAATCTTGTGTTCCTGCTTTTGTTGTTGCCATTGTCTTCAAATCTGAAAACACCCAATTGAATGAAAGAATATTCTGGTGTTCCTAACAAAAGAACATATATAATAGGTTTTACATGAAAACAATCAGGAAACCTGATATTTACGTAAAGAATTACATCGGCAACACAAAAGACTATAACATTACAGATAATGAGCCACCACAGTGTAGAAAAAATAAAAAGCTTGTGATTTAGGTTAAACCATGCGTGGTGTGAAACAAGAGTGTAAATGAGATGTTGTTGACAAAGTATGTTGGTTAAATGGCAAAAAAGGTTTTCATATCCTCAATTTCAGTAAAAGTACTAATACGACACTGTAACAATCCTCCACCTTAGTGATAATACACTTTTCCGTGTATATTATTTAGCTTAAGAGGTAGGATAATTCTTTCAACCCATAAAGGAACACTTAATCGTTCTGTTCATTAGAAAAATAAAGAATCAGCACATCTGGAGATACATGGTTTTCACTGGACAGAAAGTATAAGTATAAAAAGAAAAGTAGGCTAACTAATAACTCCTGCTGCCAGAAAAATGCAGTGGAGTAAAGAGTACAATATTTGGGATGTATTGGCATAACAGTATAAAGGTGCGTGAAGTGGAAATACTCGTGGAAAGTACCTCAAATTTGTACTTAAGTACAGTACTTGAGAAAATGTAGCCTACTTCAGTTGTTGGTCTATATACACAGAACAGCAGCAATATTCCTGAATTCTTACAAAACATAGTTCATCTGTTTGATTCATTTTTCTGATAATCTTTCAGATTTTTCTGACATTATACACGGTAGTGAAAAAAAATTCCAATCTCATCTTAATTATGTGATTTAGCAATGAAACTTGACCAGAAGAAATAAAATAGTCTTTTATAAGCTTCTTTTTACTTCAAATAAAGTTGATATTTTATATATACAATAATGCTGTAGGTGCAAAGTTGGGAGATAATGTCTGAATGTCTTACAGTGATATGGAAGTCTTGGTCGTCACACGACTTAATGGACCTCTGAAAAGTCATGATGGTTTGATCTTCAGTTTCAGTCATCGACAGGAGACTGTAGCTCTGCTGCTCGTCCACCAAAGGCATGGAGTTCCTTATGGCATAATAATCCTAATGGACAAAAAGACAAAACTCTCAGACAGCATAAAGCCTGATCTCGGCCTAACATAATGTTATGCTGTTGAACATGGAAAACTCATATCGAAGATTGGAGGAAACATAAAACAGACTGCCACACATTTATTAATGGCTTACTTTGAAGTAGTGTCCACTGGGTCCAAGTCCCCCAATGACAATATCAGACCCCTTCATGCCTCCGTTCGTACTAAAGCCAAAGCCCACCCAGCCTGTTGTGTTGACCACCAGTTTGAATGTAATTTCCCCTTGCACGTCATCAAAGCCCCATTTCAGGCAGACCATATGGTTCTGGTCCAGGTACTCCATGAAGGGCATGGTAAGGTCCGATGCCCCTGCTCCTTTTGTACAGACCGAGAACAGGTAAAGGAAAGGGAGCAGAGAGCGCATGATGTCTCTCTGATGGTGGAGATCTTCGAAATGAGCTCTGTGTCTGCAGAGTTGCCAAATACCTTCCCACCCTCCTCTGACACACCTGCGTTGCAAGATGAACTGAAGTGATACAGGCAAAAAGTGCTCAGTCATGTAGCATTTGCCCATGAGAACGACAAATACTGTATATAACTTTTTTTTTCTGTGGTCTTAATCACATTCAGATGTTTGTGCTAAAATTCACTATATTTCTTCAAAAGCTCACTCTCAGTGTTAAATGTTCACTGTCTTTGATGTCAGATTATTGAAAACCTTCAGCCTACCAATAAATTAATTTCATGTTATTACACATTCATACCCTTTTTCTGTCTCTCTCAATGAGCTGTGGTTCAGGTGCACTGCGGATATTGAACTGTATCCCCTCTCAGCTAGTCCCCCGTTGATATCAACCTGTTCCACCGGTTCTTTCCCACTGACAGACAAATGAGACCACAGCTGGTCTCAGGTGTTTGATATATGAGGAGGTGAGGAGAAGGGAGCCGGAATGAAAGGTGTACAGTACCTCTCACTTAGGCCAAGGTTGTCAATGTATTGACAAAATGAAAGCAATACCTCTTAACAACACTTGATTCCAGCCAAAACAATGTCATCTTATGGGAATGAGTGATGTATTCAGATACTAAAAGTAATTGTTGCACTCATATTATTGTATTTATTGTATATATTTTCTAATCAGAATGTACAGTGCACACACTTCTCTCTAGGGCTGCAACTAATGATGATATTCATTATAGATGAATCTATTGATCATTTTCTTGATTTATCACTTAGTTTGTTTGGTCCAAAAACTGTCAGAAAATTATAAATAATGTCGATCACTGTTTCCAAGGCCCAAGGTGACGTCCTCAAATGTCAACGACCCAAAAATAATCAGTTTACTGTCATAGAGGGCTAAAGAAACCAGAAAATGTTCACATTTGAGAATCTGACATTTTTAATTAAATGGTTATTAAAATAGTTGGCAGTTAATTGATTAATCGACTAATCGTTGCAGCTCTAATTCTCTCTCCCTCTCTCTGGCACGATAACTTTCAGCCTCTACACGTCAACTGACACTTTTTCTTTTCTTACTTTTCAACTGACAGTTCAAATACTGACTGCTGTCACTCCTCACATACCAGAAATACTGAAAATATTTTCAAGGAACTTACACTCTGATACTTCAACTTAACATTTTAAATGCTTTCATCTTTTACTCTTGACAGTTGCTTTCAGTGCTTATATATGTTCTCAAAGTGCATGCCTACATGCAGGGCTTGTCATGCAACTGTCCCAGACTTTATAACCATTGTCCCAAATTGAAGTGTCTTTTTTTCATTCTACATAATGAATATAGTGTAATAACTTTCAGTAACTCCGATCAGTTTATTCACTCATTTTTGATGGCCATATAAGTTCTGCTAGTTGTTCCCTGCACAGAATAATCTGAATAAAACATTGAACTCACCCTATATGTTTGGGCAAAATCAGTTTTCATTATTCTTTTAGTCAGTTGTTGAGTTACAGTTTATTGTTTCTAACTATTTACAACTTTTTATATCAATAAATGAATCCCTGCAAACTAGCAAACCTTTGCAAATCTGTTTCTGGTGGCGATGGGAATGTACATACACACACTTTGAACATTATTAGTTTTTGCCAAATAATCACAAACTCACTACAGAATGATCATATGTTTGAAGTACAAAAGTCTGCACACAGTACAAGAGTAGAGGGAGAGACCCCAGTGCTGTTGGCAGAGGAGCTGTGCACAGCTCTCTCCCATGAATGGGAATGCATTACAATATATTTAAATATTATCCCTGATGGTCTGAAAAAGTTGCTAAATTTGTCGCTAGTGACTTTTTAGAGATTTACTAAGAGGGTCTGAAAAGTCTAAATCTAGTGAGAATGTTGATAACTTGGCCATACTGGACTCTTTCTCTCTGTGTGACTCATTTTATGTATGTAAGCATGTGACTGACATAGCTTAAGACTCCTGCTGGTGCCACCTCACATTTTAACAATAATATATTCCATAACACATAATTGTAATAATTATAGGTAATGGTACATTTCTCTACTGTCCCAGACACTCTATCTCTGTGTCCCAGGTGTTTTTTATTATTATTAATGCTTTCACCAATTTCACTTTAACACAATAAACAGTTTCAGTGATTCAACTACAACTGACACTCAAACTGCTTTTTTCTTTAAGTGCTATTCTATTCTATTTTAATTTTTACATTTAAATTTTTACATTTTAACGTTATTCTATTCTTCTATTTGTGTGTTGTCTAAAGGGAGTCGGGCAAATTATGTTTTTCATTGTACGTATAAACCACTGTGTTTCTTACTGTACATATGACAATAAACCTCTTGAATCTTGAAACCTCTCGAATCTATTAAATCTCTCAGTTGCCAGCAGTTAAGGCATTTTAAGCTGTTAAGCTGTTTGGACCTGCAATTATTTCAGCGTAAGTGAGAAGGCTCAATTATTCTTTAAAAATCTAGCCCTTTCAGGTTTTGCAGTCAAGCATATGAGCTGGACCAGATAAACTGGATGCATGGGGAAAATGACAGGGTGGAGAAAATATCTGACCACAGCCTACACAATGTGCATTGACAGTGCAAATTCAAGGTGCTTATACATTGTAATACTCAAAAAGAGAACGCTATAAATTTTTTTCCTGAGGTATCATCTCAATGTGATAAAAGTATCTTTGCGTCATAGTCTGGTCTACTGCCCGAAGTCGACCAAGTACTGGGAGGATATTTTAAAAATCTTCCTAACAGTGGTTGGTCTGACATTGTATCCTGACCACAACCTGATCATCTTTGGCACAACAGAGGCCCCGAACACATTAAGAAACACACTCAAAGACTGTTTATTGATTATGGCCTCATAACTGCAAGGAAGGAATACATTTTATTTATTCTATGTTTCCGGTTATTTACTCAATTCCTAATTGTTTATTTGGGGTTTTGCTATGTTTGTTTGGGTGGTTATTTGCAAATTCTATTGTTCTATATTCTAGGTCAGTGGTTCCCAACAAGGGGGTCAGGATCCCCACTAGGGGTCACCAAAGCCTAATGAGGCCTTCTTAATTTTAAGGGGTGTAAGAAAACTTAAAAAATATACAGAGTAGGCCTATATCTCTGCATTTCATCCAATTCTGTGAAGAAAACAAATTGTTATTTTTAAAGTTTAGATTATTATTAAAGATCTAAACTTTGAAGGCCAGAACAAAAGGTGTTCAAAATGTATAAAGTTTAAACAACCAAAAAGCTAATGAATGTTTACGCAATGACAGAAAAGGGGTATTTTAAGGAAAAAGGTTATAAACCAGTGTTCTAGGCTATCTAGTTAATGTTATAGAAAGGAAGCAACAGAATTGTGTCACTCAGATTATTGGAAATGCTTCAATAAAAACATATATGACAAGAGAGATGTGAGCTGAACTTTGATTTGATGGCCAGAAACTTGGACAGTAGGCTAGTGTCCGACACTGACCACACACACAGAGAGATATACAGATATCATAATGGACCATATTTGTAATGTAATATCACATTTAGCCCAGCAGAGGTCGACTGCAGCAGAACACACACATTCAGGGTCACTCCCTTCAGCCGTTGAGCCAGCTGTTAACTACATTCACAGTACAAAAGCTGCCTCAGATTAAAATAATAATAATAAACCGGAACTTTAACCCTTATTTGGTTTCAGAAGAAGAATGTTGTCGGAACCTCTGAGCATAGTTTATCGTAGCCTATTTAAAGCGACTTATTAACGCATTTTCTTTCTTTATTTAATTTATTCACAATTTACGATTATGAGTCAAGATTAAAAAAAAACTCTAGGGTTTTTATATTAGTAACGTTATATATTATTAAAGCAAACGTTTGAATGGTTCCTACATTATATTTGAGTCTACTGGACATATTTGCAATTTGACTGATGCTATTATTACTATAATAAAAAATATTAATAAAAAAAAGTTATTAACATTAACATTAACAGTTTTTTTTAGCTGTAAAAAACAGCTTGAGTGGTTTATAGATTATTGTTGAGTTTTATGTGAACTAGTCCCGTCTTGGAGGGCCATATCGGACCGAGACTACCTTTCCGGTTTCTCTCCGCGGTGCAGGTCACTCCCTCCGCACTGTCAGCTCTCTACGCGCTTCAAACTTGCAGGCTCTCTGGAAGTAGTCTGTTCCCACCGTCTCTCTTTTTCCAACCACCCACAGGTTTTTTTTTTTTAAGTGACAGACTGTTTTGTAATGTGTTAAAGTGTGTGTGTCGCGGCGGCTGTACACCGGGAGGAATCACCGTGTTTTTTCTTCGCGTTTTTTAGTTGGGAAGCGGCGGGGAAATGTCCAGCTGAGGATTGGAAATCCCGAAACCGCAGGGCCTGTTTTTGTAATGATTGATCAATGCTTCGACAATGGCGGTAAAGGTAAGTCAGACAACTTTCCTAAGACGATTTAACGTCAACCTGAGTGCATTACCTCCACCAGTTTGTCCTGACAGTTGTTGTTTTACGGATAAAATAGCGGGTTATGGACTTGTAGAGGCTCACACAGAGTTACAGTTTCTCGCATTAGGTTTACAGTGGACATTTCACTCGATATGCGACATATTAAAGACTCAAACATATTTTAATACTCTGCTTTTGGACGCGTGTTATGGACGCCTACAACACATTTGTATGCAGTAAATGTGACGCGACTGTTTTTTTTTGCTGTACATGGAAAATGTGTCTCATTAAGAAAGTGTCTTGTGACATTTTACTACCTTTTCCAGTGCGGGTCATTTCTACCTCCGCGGAATTATGGGAAATGTAGTCGTGTGTGTGGGTGTTTGTTTATTCAGTACTGTATGTATGTATAGGTGTGTGTGAGAGAGATTATCTATTATACAGTGTATTATCTTCATTAATGCAGTAAGTTTTAGCAGCCTGTCATTAGTACAATAATGTGAGTTGCTGTTACCATTAACAGTATTAGCAGCCTGTCAGTATTAGTATTATTATAGTAAATAGGTGTGTGAGTCCAGGCTTATTTTGATCACAATTTGTGGTCCCATTATTCTACCCATCAAAGTTAAACAACCCCCTCCTGATGTATTTTATTACATGTACATTGTAACACTAATGTTTGTCTGATATGTCTCACCTGGTTTAAAAGTTTCTAAAATTACCTCTACGTCTTCTTAGTCACTGAATAATATTGAATCTTTCTGCTTAACACAAAATTTCTCTTACTTGACTTGAATCTACATTCTCAGTGTATGTGTACTTTCATACTGGACCAGGATTGACTTCCAAACTTCTCACAGAATCGTGCTTGTTGGTACACGTGTCAAAGTCACATTTAGAAACTTTCCCCCTCCTGCAAATGGATGTGAAAACAGCTTTCTAGTGTCAAGCTGTCAAAGGTCAAACCCAAGTGAAGTAACAAAACTGTAAAGACCTTTTTTTCTATTAGAGCGGGACTGCAAATCACATCATGCCACCGAACTAGGAAGATCAAGATCATCCTTGGCCCAAGCAGACTTCAGAACGCAAACAAAATGCTTTTACACTACATAAAAATAATAACTGAGGCTGTGGCTAGAAACATTCATGAATTAAAAACATCATCCAGCTTCCTTGACTCCTGGGAGGTGTCAGGCTAACACTAAACAAGATCTCTGTTCACGGAATTACAAATAGCCTTGAATTCCATCTCATTGGTTAGTGAACAAGTTAATCAGATAGCCAAGCCAAGGGAATTTGGTCTGCTTTGATAAGGCATGGTATGACGTTTTAGTTTTAAAAAGGAAGTGGCAATCTAAATTTGCATAGTCAAAGTTATGAAAATAAATGTGGAAAGGCCTGAATATCAACCATGAACTGAAGTCACATTTAGTGTATTTTTCACTCTGTTATCTCTCATTGTTACATGTATTTGTTTGTGTTTGTTGTGTACCCCTATGGGGGCCAAGGGGGAAGGGCTGATTAATAGTTGTGGGTCAGTGTGCGAATAACTGCAGGCTCCTGTATTGAACTGAACCAGGTAACGTGATGGTTCTGGTCTTGTTTTTGGTTGATACTAGTGCCTAGTGAAGAGTCAGCGCAATATACACAGAAGAACTAGTTTGGCCTGATTTCACTGCTATTGGGTGTGTTGCTGCATATGTGTACATGCACACTGTGCAACCCTGGGCTGTCTTCAAACATCCCGTAAATCTTTGTTGTTTTTTCTTGATTGTGTTCAGGCACAAGTTTTATATGACTTCTCTGCTGAGCCTGGAAACAACGAGTTGACGGTGAAGGAAGGCGAGACAGTCACTATCACCAATCAGGTAAATCTATACAGGCAGCATTCATTGTATGTATGTGGGATAGTATTGTTATTCAATATCTCTCCTGCTTTATTGCGGTTACCGTTTTGTGTTATTGTTTTCATTTAGGTTTTTTTCACCTCTGCTGGGTTAAAACTAAATGTACTTCAGAAATAAATTTGATTTGATTAGTTTTGCCCTAAATTTTGGTATTGGTTAACTATTATAGCTTTTTGTGTTCTAGCCTCAAATTTAAGTGTTTGTGTGACTCTCCTGTCAACAATCCTATAAAGGCAAAACTCACATGATCTCAGGTTATCTATAAACAGTCAGTGTCACAAACACGTACAGAGGAAGGAAGGGAAGGGAGCAAACATGATGTCATTATAATCAGTTGCCAACAGTTCAAAGGTCACTCACTGTGTGCTGACCGACATATCTTTCTAATCAAAGTCGCTCTGAAGCCAATCCGGACCTACTGTATGAGGAAAACAGAATCTTTTTTTTCCTCACTAAATAAACTGACTGTGAAGGAATTTTTCCTGGGAGCTTTCAGCATGTTTACAGATACTTGGGGAACCTGCTAATTGTCAGCTTTTTTGCTCTAACCTCGAATGACATGTAAATGGGAAACTTGTTTGCCTTAATTTCAATAAAGAATTAGTAAGTTAGTTAGTTAATAAGGTACGCTAACACAGCTATTTTTTTTGCAGCACATGTTTTGCTGCAGGTCTCTGTACAAATGCATGTGCATGTCAGATACTTTCAGCAGGTTTAACAAGAACATCATTACTTGTAGCAATGTGTCCTTGCATCAGAATTTAATCAAATTAAAGTAAATTTAGGTGTAATCAGGTTACTGCAATGCATTTTAACCCATACTCAGATTCCCTCAATGTGATTTATTTTCCCAGTAGCCTGTTTTTTGTGTGCATGTGATGCAGATGCCTACTCTGTGTAGTCTCAGTCCTTGGGTGTCATTCTGTTTCAGAGTATCGGAGGTGGCTGGATTGAAGCACAGAACTCCAGAGGGGAAGTCGGACTGGTGCCAGAAGACTACATCGAGGTAAGATAGACAGTCATTAAGTGTATGGTGAAGATTATTACATCTCACATCCTGCACTCTATTTGAAATACATTCACCTCCAGAGAATGAAGCTGTAAAGACATCTGCTATGAGGTCAAGGAGCACAATATGTACTATCTATATGCAACCAAATATTTAACATTTCACCCTCTCTGTCCCTCTATCAGTTAGACACTTATCATTAGAGACAAGGATGTGTTTCTGCACTAACTGCAGACTGTGGTGCCGTCTCTTGCCTGAAATCACAACAGGATGTGCCTCCTTCAGGGTTTTGCTGATTAGGGTGTTTGTGTGTGTGTGTGTGCGTGTGTGTCCATTTTGATCCAGCAACTGACTTCATCGTGAGGATATGATTCACTATAAAGACTTGCACAAAGAGACACAAATGGAGTTTGAGTAAAAGTAAAGTCATTAAATTCTGTTTAAAGCTTTAGCTTCACTCTAAACAACAATGTAGTGTCTGTGTGTACACGAAAGACATATTCTCCATCTGCTTTACTTAGCAAACAAGCTCATGTGAATGTTTCTGTTTGTGACCTTAACTTACCTCCCCAGCTGCCCCCAGACTGTTTTGATTTTTTTCCCAAATCATAAAAACCCACTGATGACAATTGCACTTGTAGCTTATGTAATATCTAATGAAAAACACCAGGACATAGCCTGTTTCTCATGCTGCTACTTTTTATTTCAGTGCTCTCTACTGGTAAAAAATAAGATCTGCAAAAACAAGATGTTGAACTAACAAAAATAGCCTGAAGAATTAAGCATGGTGTCTTCATATTAAGTGGTAAAGCAGATTTAAATGTGCAAACTGAAGTATCACTAGTCAGTGCTATCACACTTTGGATAGACAGAGAAAGTTAAAAACTGAGTTTGCAAAGCCAGGGAATACCAAGGAGTCAGGATCACATTACCACAGAAGAATGTAGTACCTTTAAAAGTCATTAAATCACACTGGAATATCTGGTTTTGTTCTGCTAATGGACTATTTTCTGTCTTTTATCCTTTCATTTGTAGTTCGGTCAGCAGGTTCCATCGTTCCCAGGTGCAGGAACCACAGCACCTACCCCAAGTTTTGGAAATGTTGCACCTCCAGACTTGTCCATCTTTGATGCCTACGCTCCCCCTGCAGCACCAGCACAGAACCAGGTAACGCACTCACCTAATGAAGATATGGGTATCATATCAAACGCCTGTTATTTTTACTGACCTTTAGCCAGAGTATTATATTAATGTACAGGCTTAACAGCTTTAAAGTCAGTGGCACAGACAACTGGGGAAGTAATAGTAAATACCCACAACAGTGCCATGCACAGTGTACCAGCCGTGTTCCCATTCTCCATCTCAAAAGTATGTGTGCTGGGGTGCTGTTGAAGAAAAAGCAGAAGCAGGCGATGACAGAGTTTTTCTGACGTTTGTGCAGCATGTGTGAACCCCACAGATGCAGAAGTGAGAGCAGCTGCTGTAGGAGATCTTTACCGTGGTCATGTCATTTATAACTGACGCAGGTTTTAGCTCAAGTAAAATAGAACCAAGAGGAAACCAGAGCAGTGAAATCTTTAGTCGTTAGTAGGCAGGAAGTTCCACGAATGTGAGTGTACTGCTGGATCAGTAGAAATTTGGGCACATTGAGTGTTTGAGTCAAGGCAGGAAATGTGTCAGCCATCATCCCTCACCCCCTCCCTTCCTCCACTCACTCATTTTACCCACTCCCACTCTCACACACACACAAGCACATCTATGTCCAGCATCCCCTGCTGAGTGTGAACCTTCACTGCTGGCACTTTATGATGATGTCACCTTCTTTTCCCCTCAAGGTGGATGCTGGGGGCTTAAGTCCCCAGCCGGATACCCCCGACACCCCAGTTTCCCCCTACCTTTCGTCCCCTGATGAGGTAACTGGTAACTCAGGGGAGATGGGTGGTGTATGAGGCCAGTGGCATGAAACCAAGCCCTCCACCCTCACCCATTCTCTGCCCCAAGCCCCCTCCTCTCCGATTGGTCTGCTTTGGCAAATTCCCCCTCCTACTACTACTGCCTGCAGACAGCATGATCTCACCCTCTCCATTCACCTGCACAGTCACACGTCACCAATCAACTCCCACACCTTTTATCTCGATTGTATGAATCAGCACCACAGTGAAACTTTGAAAGCTGAAAGCTTGGAGTCAATGACACATAAGTGACTAATCACACTGACGAATCATCAGACCAGAAAACAAACATTTACACCAGATAATGAGCAGAATCTCATAAATAATCTTCAAAATTGTTCACTTTTGAATAAAAATGTTTATTTATGTGCAGTGAAGATGCTGGAAACTTATGTTCGAGTGTTGTTTCTCACTACAATGCTGTGTTCACTTGTCAATTTCATTGGAGCAAGTTTTTGTGAAACTACTGGCTCATTTACAGTACTTTTTCTTTATTTCTATGTGCTTTATGTGGGGTATTAACTGACCCTGCACTTGTTGGGTTAGCATTAAGCTAACATCAACCTACAAAAGGCACACAAACACTATTGCATGCCAATGCCCACACGTTTTCATAGTGATCTACACAGTACGTCTGCCTTGCAAGCATGGCATGTAGTTGCATTTTCAGTTTGTAAGTACTGTAATAAAATAGTGTGTGTGGACTTGAGAATGGTAGTGTTTGTGTGAGTCTGCACATCATTATCGGCATGTGTCATTTTTTAAATATGCAGTATTTTGTGTTATGTTGGTATTTTTAATGGCTGCATATGTTAAGCAGCATTTACAGACATTTACCCCGTCACTTTGATTAAACAGATACCCTGTTAGAGGCCCAGTCTGCATCGTGTGGCATGTTGTTTTAAGTCTCCTGTCAACTTCTTATTAAACAGACTCCAAACTAGACTGGACTCTCCTCTCTCTCTCTCTCTCTCTCTCTCTCCATACTTGATGCGTCATTTCTCTTCTTCTTTTGTCCCTCACATTTTCTCTTTCCATCTCTTCCAGGCTAGTAACGGTAATGATCCCTGGTCGGTGTGGAACGCAGACCCCTCGGGGGGCACCAACAACAACTGGGCGTCCAATCCAGAGGGCACCCAGACTGGGAAGAGTGCTGCTGACCCCTGGGGATCCATATCCCAGGGCCACCCTCAGGCTTACCAGGGCCCTGGTAAGAAAAAGCTCTTAAATTAGCAACCATGGCAGACGTTGAAAGCACAGTATGTACAATAAAATCACCACCTATGATTTTGTGCAATGTCTAAAGAAGTTTTATTCTTGTGGTTGTACTTGCACTACTCAGTTCTTCTATTCGAAACCTCAGGATAATTTAAATTAGGGAAATGAAGACTACGCTGCATAGATTTGTTTGTTGTGGTGGTCAACAGAAAAATTTAAGTTAATTCAAATGAAGTAACAGACATAATGATATAAAATATGTAAAAACAAATTACAGAGACTCTACATGGTGATGTCTTAGTGTGGTTGCAGGCATGGGAAAGTCACACACTGTTTTTAGCTCTTGGCATCATTATCTTGCTAAACAGTTGAGTGAACTGTTTGCAGATAGTTTGCTTTTTTAAACTGTAGTTGTGGGGAGAAGATAGAATGTGGCTGTAGTGGATGCTGTTGTTGAAAGCAGAAACATATTTCTGAGCCCTCAGGAGGTGTGAGCTTAATTAAACAAGTAATCAAATTAAGCAAGCTAGTATAACACGACACTGAAACACAGTTGGATTGTGTGGTTTGTGAATCGTGTTGTACATTTATAACGGCCTAGTCTGTTGTCAGAATCAGCTTTCTGTTGGGATGCTTGATTTGGATTGTTTTGATAGAGGCAGCTACATCACAGAACATTCAGTGTTTAAGTACACATATTGTATAAATATTCTTGAGTTTTTTGACCACGATCCAGTTCTCCAGACATGTGATAAAAGCTCTCTGCATGGATGAAAAATGTAAGAGCAAGATTATCTGCAACTGTGATAAGTTTCTTGGTCATAAGACAGCAGATTTAACTAGATAATGATTTCAATATGTGCTTATTGTCTTATGTTTTCCTGGTATTTTTAACCAAAACAAGTCAATTGTTCACAGAGTGAAGTATAAGTCAAGTAATACTTAAAATCAGCTTTCTTGGATTACCAACAATATAAGAAAGGATATTTTTGATACTCGGGACAGAACACTATTTCCTGTCCTACATTGAGAATATAGAGTAAAACCTTTTATCTGCAACTATAGGTAGTTTGGTCCAGTATTTAGTACCATTCCACTCCAAATATGTTACAGATTTGGAGTGACTTTAACTCCCAGATGTTCTCCTGTTCAGTCGTCTGTCTCTGGCCAATCCCTCCACACCGATGCTCCAGCATGTAGACTAGACAATCATGTCATGATTCTGTTTTTGCCAGACTGTGGAAAAGTTAGCCTCACGCATGACTCAGAAGGACAAATTACTTGACCTGTTTTTTAAATTCTCCAGTTGTTATTGCAGAAATAGAGCTGGGGGAATAACTATTGAGGAGAAGAATTAACAGACTCTTCATTTCTTTCTTTCTGTCTTTCTTTCTTTCTTTCTTTCTTTCTTTCTTTCTTTCTTTCTTTCTTTCTTGCCAAAGACATCTACCCGTATCCTTACCTTATTGATAACACAGGTATCCCCTGCATCACCTGGTGGAAGCTTTTTCCTAATTTTTGTGTGAACTGACAACAAGTATTCATGAAAAGAGGTTCCAGTAAATGTTTTTTGGAAATGATTTACATTCTTGAAAGCATGTGTGTGAGGCATTCAGTTTGTATCTTGACATTAACACTATATTTACATGTTATTGTGAAAGGGCCAGCTGTGACTGACTTCTGAAATGTAAGAGAATTCTGAATGGATTGTATTTTGCATCTGAAAGATCTTTGGCCGACTACGGATTTTTGATAGATTTTTAATGATGAGTTTTATAAAGAGTTCTGTCCCACAGCATGTCTGCCCTACAAAAGACAGAAAGCAGTAACTAAATACAGAATGAAATTTCTGGATTTTAACTTAGTTTTGAGCCTGGTTAGCCAAACTTTGTAAGATATAGATACATTGTAAATTCAATGATTATTTTACTCTCTACTTTCAGACAATTTTGAGGGTGCATGGAAAAACCTTGAAACATTTAGGAGAGATCAGTGGCTCGGATTGCCTTTCCTGCTTTGCTAAGCTAGGCTAGTAATATTTCAGCAGGACTGTTAGTTTATCTACCTTTTTGTTTACCTATCATGGTCAGATTTAGCAAATATTTAGCTAGAAAGTTTTTTCAACAGGAAACAGGTGGAAGAGTAGTTTCAGGCTTCTGCTAGCCTTAGCTAAGGCTAACTGAAGCTATCTCACCAGCAAGCTTTAACATACTGTAGCAATGTCTTTTGTAGTTTTGGAAACTTTACATTTAGTTTTTTCTGAAATTATATTGAATGGCGTACTAATCTTTTATATGGCAAAACAAATGTCAGAAAATCAGATTAAGGTCTTAACTCAATTTGGCTAAATATGCATTTTGGCTTTGTAGGGCAGATGTAATGCATCAGTGCACTTATTATTTCCTAACTTGCCTGTTGTGTATGTGTGTGAAAATATTTACATTAAGGCCAAATTCAGATAAACTGTGTCTGTATGTATTATTTTGTAGCATTTAGGGATGGCCATGCCAGAATTGATCAAATCCTTTTAATGTCCATCCCTGCTAGTGTTTGATTAATATTACTAGAACAGACACTGCTGTTTGTATCAGGTAATCCTCAGCAGTGAATTCTCACTCAGTCGGGTTCTTGTATATTTCAGCGTTGTACAATAAGTTGTTGGAGAACAGAATGTGTACTTTGTGTGCTTTTGAAACAAATTTATGTGTGCATTTGTTTGCCCTCAGGAGCAGAGGATGATGAGTGGGATGATGAGTGGGATGACATGAAGTCCACTGGAGGATACGCTGAGTCAGAATCTGGAGAAAGTGGAGCAATGCAGAGAGGAGGAGCTCATGCGTCTTCAATGAAAATCTCCCTCAACAAGTAAGACTTGAAATACACTTCTATATTTTGTTTTCTTAAAAACAAACAAAGGTTATATTTAAATTCAGTGTGACTCATAAAAATTGAACTTCCTTTAGATCTGATAAAGCGTGTTACCACCAACTGTTGGTCAGTGTGAATGGTGTCAGACTCTTTATTAGTTGTTGTTGACATAATTATGGCCACAAGACACAAACCCTGAAAGAGTCATCAGGACCATCACTTTTCACACTTTTCTCTCTTTCTTTGAGCAGGTTTCCTGGGTTCTCTAAGTCTGGTCCAGAGCTCTACCTCCTATGCAAGCAGCTCCCCAAGGGCAAAGAGAAACTACCAATCTATGTAGGTTATGTCTTTTCTTGTTATATCAGTGTTTGGGCTGCAGTGATTCAACCTATCTAACCAGACTGAATACAATATGCGATATGAACACAAGAAACTAGAAATCAGTCATTAGCACAGTTTTTGTTAGTCGTAAGGTAGATTATTGCAGTAAAAGATGTTATATTTCCAGCAGTATATATTGAGTAGTATTCCAGCAGGTTTGATATGGTTTCCTCTGTTTACTGGTGTGAACCTGTTTGTATGCCATACAAATGCAGTGTAGCAGGTTTCTAAACTATTTGTCTTATGCACAGCTGGGAGAAGTTGGTCCGGTGTGGTCTTACCCAGAAAGTCAGCTAGACTGTGTGGTGGCTGATCCTAAGAAAGGCTCAAAGATGTACGGCCTAAAGAGCTACATCGAGTACCAAATCACGCCCAATGTAAGTATCCAGTAGCATTTTCAAACAGACAGTATTTTTAACCTGGGATTTAAATAAAGTTTAGAGACTGTATATGTAATACAAATAATATTTTGAGCGTGTTCATAAATAATTTAGCCACCTTTAGTGTGAATTCTAAACTGAATGTGAGAAAAAAAAGGCATGTATGTATCTGAATGTGTGAATTTGTCAAACAATAAATAAAAAAAATCTAACAACTTAAAGTTTGTGAGACAGTGAGGTTTCACAAATTCTGAGAGAGTGACACACACATTTCCTATGTGTCTATGCAACACTGAAGTTAAAACCTGAAATGAAACCATGCTGGTGATACACAGCTGGAGGCTGTGAAATTATTTGTGAACATCATTTCACAAGCTCAAAAATATTTATAACCTTCATTTGCCGCTATACAAGTACTAAAAATATATTCCATATATCATAGAATTTTTGTTTATAAACCCTGGTGTTTATAAGTTATCTGTAGCTGTGGAATCACAAAATCATATTCTGCCTGTGTAAAATATTATAATAATAATAATATAATAATAATGATGAAGTGTTTGGCCCCGCTTCATTTACAGTGTTTATAACTCCACGTTATTTGTTTGCAGACCACAAACCGACCAGTCAATCATAGATACAAGCACTTTGATTGGCTGTATGAGAGGCTGCTAGACAAATTCGGGTCAGCCATCCCCATCCCCTCTTTACCAGACAAGCAGGTGACAGGTAAGTGACGAACAAATGTAAGACACAAAATAGATCAATATTGCTGACAACAACATTAAAAGTCTTTTCTGTGTATAATGTCTGTTCCAGGGCGATTTGAGGAAGAGTTTATTAAGATGCGTATGGAGCGGTTGCAGGGCTGGATGACCAGGATGTGCAGGCACCCAGTCGTTTCCGGCAGTGAAGTATTCCAGATTTTCCTCACCTACAAGGATGAGAAGGTGGGCTATTCCTCCTTCACTTGTTCTTCCTTGAGCTTTTGAATGATCTGTGTTTTTAATATTACTAAATGATTGAAAGGTCATGCTTTTATTAATAAAATCTAACATTTGGTTAATAGTTGACCTGATTTGTTGTTCTTCAGCTGTATGTAGGAAAGATGATTTGCAATTATTAAAATTCAGGTTCAGTGTTTTTATTATTGCTTAATGAAAATAAGCGATTCATTGGTACAGGACTGGAAAACGGGGAAGAGAAAAGCAGAGAAGGATGAGACGGTGGGAGTGATGATCTTCTCCACGATAGAGCCTGAAGCTCCAGACTTGGATCCTGTGGAAGTGTGAGTTTTAATCAAACTTTACCCTGAACCTCTGCAAAAGCATAGACATTAATCGTGAGGCTGACTGTATGTCCACATGCTAACGGTTTATTGTATGTAAAATGTGTCCCTCGTTCATAGGGAGCAGAAATGTGAGCAGTTCAGCAAATTCACCAAAGCCATGGATGACGGGGTAAAGGAAATCCTCACAGTGGGCCAGGAGCACTGGAAGAGATGTACAGGCCGTACGTACACACAGCGCTGAAGCAAAATAAATGTTTTACCACACACAGGCCACACCTTCACTTTGTGCTGTAATTGCTGTTTATATCAAAGAATGGTTCATAATTATGGGGTATTTTGTCAATACACGAAAAAAACCATTCACACAGTTTGTCTGTTTGTGCTCATGTTTCATGTCTTCCCCTCCACAGCTTTGCCAAAAGAGTACCAGAGAATCGGCAAAGCCTTCCAAAACCTCTCCTCTGTCTTCACCAGCAGTGGATACCAAGGTACAACATTGAACACAAATATGACATCAAATGTTATTTTGAGTGACTTCAAAAGATTGCTGTAATCAACACATGTAGTCATCATAATGGTAGTAGATGCATCTTACTATGCAGTCTTTCATTATGTGGAAATCTGTAGAAACAAATCTGAAAACAAATCGACACACAGATAGTGCTACTAAACATGGTGATTACACATTTAACCCATTTCCTGCTGTAGGCGAGTCAACCCTGACGGATGCCATGACAGCAGCGGGCAAGACATATGAGGAGATAGCTCAGATGGTGGCAGAGCAGGTAGGTACTGTGCCTGTTGTAACACACTGTAATACCACTGCCTTAAAATTCACATATGTGCCTTTATGAACAAGGCAGAACTCTGGCTTGTTTCCTCAGAGGTTAGTTTAAATTTACACCAATCATTTTGCACTCACCCTGTCAATAATCACATTATCTCACAATGTCTCTGAACATTTCCTGCTGGCAGTCAGTGTTTACATCCTAGTTCCGGCGTTTTATTGACCCTTTTAACCAAGCGTCCTGCTCATGAAGTCTGTATCTGTAGGGGTAGAAGCCACAGGAAAACATATCTCTAGTGTTTCCTGAGGCTTGTTTTGACTTGTTTTTTGAAGTTTGCCAACATGGTTTGTAATAAAATCCAACTTGGGCCTTTTTTGATGTTCTAGCAGCTTCCAGAGGGAGGATTCATCTGGTAAGCTTATGCTGCTCCTGTAGAATTGTTGGCTTTAGTTTAGCAATGTCTGTGATAGTAATGGTGAAAGCCAGTGGCTGCACATGGATTCATCTTAGGAGGTAAAACAATGCAGTCTATTTGTTGCTCTAACCTGTGGAGGCTGCATACAGCCTTCCTTTAATAAATTCAAGGATATGGGAAGAATAGGGTGTTGAATTTTATGTACATGTAGCCATCAGTTAAATATTATTAGCTCCTCTTTTACTGAATCTCCTTTCTCCATTGGACGCGTGTAAAAATATTACTTGGAAAAGTTATTCCTGTGACGTAATGTTTCCCTGTATTCTTTCTTATCACTTTTAGATCTGTTATTTCCTGTCTTTTTTTTTTTTTTTTTAGGTTAAATTTATCTTTTTGTCTCTGTGTTTGCTCCTTTTACAGCCCAAGAAAGACCTTCACTTCCTCATGGAGACCAACAATGAATATAAAGGTCTTCTGGGATGCTTCCCGGACACCATAGGAGTCCATAAGGTACATCAGGAAATGGTTACACAAAGTTTTAAGGGCAGTTTCTTCGAGGGTCAACTGGCTCTGCAGCAGGAGCATATATAATATATGTTTACAAATCATTGACACTTAAGTTTAATTTATTGTTTGGCTACTGATGCTACAGCGACTTCCTGTTGACATAGTTCATTACTTTTGATTGGACAGCGCTACAGATGTTTCCTAGCAGCCGATTTACACATTATTATTAGTCTGTGCTGGCTAAGACTAAGTCTGAATAGTGTAACTCAATTCAGTAAATCACTAATGTAGAAAGTAGCTACTAGTTGCTAAGAATGTAGTAAGGACAAGTAACACACAAAAACACTAGTAAAGGATTTATGAATAGCTGGTGCAGCATAGTCCAGAACAAGATATTGTGAACATGTGCTTCTGATGATATCAGGTTTTCATTTAGCTTCTTTTTAAATTCCTTCACCTCCTCTGGATTTAAATTAGTCAAATGGTCTTTTGTCTTCATACAGTGTAACTGAAGACTTTTTAAATTCTTGCAGGCAGCCATAGACAAGGTGAAGGAGGCTGACAAGCTGGTGGCCACCAGTAAAATTACCCCTCAGGACAAAGGCACCATGGCCAAACGAGTCAGCACCATGTCTTACACATTACAAGGTAACGCACTCACTGAGAAACATGTAAGCGAGAGTGTTTATTGTAACTTGATCTCTGATTCACATGGTTTGCCAACTTCTTTTCTCACAGCTGAGATGAACCACTTCCATAGCAACCGTATCTATGACTATAACAGGGTCATGCAGTTGTACTTGGAAGAGCAAGTCAAGTTTTACGAGACGGTAAGGCATTTTTATCGACCATCTATCACAGTTAGATTGGAATTGGAGTCCGTCCTTTTTGTTGAATATTACCTTGGTAGCAGTTGCAGAGATACTAAACCGTCACATGACCACCCTCGGCTTTTGTATTGATGTGAGTTTTTCTTCGTTTGAATTGACAGATTGCTGAGAAACTGAGACAAGCGCACAGTCAGTTCACTACAATGTGAAAGCAACGGCCTTCAGTCTCGCACTACAAGACAAGAAGAGTTAAACCAGCTCAACATCCATATTCTTGCTTACACTGCATTCTTTTCCCTCCCTTTAATTTAAATTTCACTTCTCTCTTTCTCTCACACTTACCTCATCTCTCTCATTTACTGCTCAGGCCAACAGTCCCAGCTCATGGTGTTACTTTTGTCTGCTGCTCTCGGAAGTCTGTGAACAGTTAGTGTGCAGCAGCTGAAAAGGGTTTGACACCAGTTTTTTTGGGGGTTTTTTTTGTAGGGCCAGCGATGATAACAGAACAAGACACACTATTTACACACACCCTTCCTCTGTCCAAGGTCTGCAGCTTGTTACAGAGGAAGTAAACATCACAAAGTCACAGTTTGTGGCCCTGAATTGCTACATTTCATGAGTAAAACAGTTTTTTTTTTATGCAAATCTCTCAGCTATGGGTGCAAACATGCCTGTGCTCACATTTTATCTACCTATTTTAAAGCAATATGGTGAAAATGGTAAAGGAAAGGATTTACACATGGTGCAAAACTGTTGTCTGCACATGTAGCGATGTAGTAACACCAAAAACCAAAGCTATCTTCCCCTCTTTCAATAGGGGACAGCAGGGGGGTTGATTTCTGAATGCAGCATTAACGAAAGAGAGCTTTACTGTCTTTTTCTCGGTCAACATTAGGCCTGTTTTAATGATTGTATTAGTACATCTTCAGTGGAGCATTCCTGCATGTATCCAAGTCTTGGAAGAATAGGCAAAAGCAGAGTGTGTCGCCTGTCTGTCCACTGCTGGCAGTCCCTAGCCCCCTTTCATCCCACACTTCCTCAAAAGCTAACAGGAAGCTCCACCTCCTTCCTGCCTTGCCCCTTTGAGGAAAATAGAAATGGTTGCCTCCCCCTCAGCAGCCTGTGCAACATGACACTGCAGTTTACATTTCAGGAGTGAAGACAAAATGATACTCAAGTTGGGGGTTCATTATTTTAAGACATAAAGACCAAATCAGTGAATTGTAACCTCCCTTGCAGGTGGTACCGATGCATGATTTCTGTCTCCCAGTTCTACTGAAGAATATTTGTCCTTTTATTTGATCAGATTACGGTGTTTTCTATGAAGGTGTGACAGCAATGTTTAATGTAAGAATCTGTACTATAAGAAGAGTTGGATTATGTTGTGTATGCAGTTTTGCTTTTGCTTTTCACCGCCCAGTTTTCAATCAGTCTCTAATCTTGTTCACTCTTTTTTTTCTTATCACTTGATACAAAAATATACATATATATATATATATATTCTATTTGACCTATCAGGTGCTTCTTGTCATTGAGATACTATTTTATGTATAGAAGTATTTGCAATACAATGTAACTCAAAGAGGAGCAGAAATTCTGTTTGATTTATTAAACAATGATTTGTACTCATTGCGACTTCTTTGTGTGTGTATGTGTGAGTGTGAGTGTGTGTGTGTGTTTTGAAAGAAACCTTGTCTTGTTCTCTGCATGGTTCAGAGAGTACAACACACTACACACTCTCTGACTTACTCACAGTAAAGCCCTTATTCGCTTTTGCAGATTCTTGCGTAGAGATGGATAGGAATGAGAATGAGTCGGCAGCCTGTGCGAAGGGTCAAAGAGTGTGTTTGTGGAGGAGGTGAAAGAGCCCTTTTACCCCACATTCAGCTCTCGCCCCCATCAGGTGCAGCTGCATGTGTAGACCACATAAAGTAGCCAGGCGAGGATAAGTGTATGTGTTATAGTGTTTTTAGGGCTTCATTAGAGTTAGCAGCATTTGTTTCAGTTAAAAAAATATTTAGCAAAACTCTTATACTAAGTTTTTGAACTTCATTTTCAGGTTGTATAAGAGTTTAAAGTGAACTAATTATAAAAAGTGCAGCCTTTTTTCTGTATCCTTTGACCTACTCCACACATGCCTGCTATATTTACACAAAGCTGCCAATAGGCTAAAGGTCTGTGGAAGTCATGCGTGAACTAATTTGAATGTATGTAACATTTACTGGATGCCACAGAAAAACTGCAGTGTGTACAGTCTGATAAGGGTTATCTCTTATTTCCATCTGTCAGTCAGAAAAATTTGTTTCAACTGAATGCTTCTGCAGAACTTGAATCCTTTGCCCTCTGTGTCACATTTTGTATATATAATGTTTATTGTACAATCCATACAGTACGTATACACAGTCCTCAAATAGCACATCTTCTCTGCCTGACCCTAGACAGTGAGACAGCACTTAAAGGGGAGTGGGGTTATTATATCTAATATAATTCAGTGTTCTTTTGTCCTGAATTGTTTGAGTAATAATATTAAAACCCTTTTAATTTCAGCAAAGTTTACACAACAGATTAGATTCATAGTTGGCTTAAAATTCAAAATGAATAAAACTGGAAAATCATAAATATGCAATAAGAACATGCCATATGCTGAGTGTTCAATAAACAGTCTCACGTGCCTGCCAGTTGCACATGCCTCTTCTCAGTGGTTAGTAGAAGCTTCACTCATCTGTCAAATGTACCTTTCCTTTGGCTGGGTTGCTAATAGTGTGTCAAGTGTCAAAGTATCAAACTAAAGGTACAAAATAGACGTAGAAAATACGCAAGAAATCTCTTCCCATGAATGAATGAAAAATGTCCATGTCCCAAAAAGAACGCAACAGTATAAAGTTTTGAGTCCACAGTTATGAGAACATTGAGTCTATCAGTCATATTTGAAAGTAGCTCAAAAAACAGCAGAAGAGAGACCATTTCCAGGATACTCTGTAAGTTCACTCGCAACACAAGCTGTTGTTGACATAACTGACATTCACTTCCTTCTCGATGAGCTCTGTCAATAAAGAGTCAATCACTGGACGTTATCATCACCACGGCGTCCCAGTGAGATCATCACGTGGTCCCTGTATTGTTCCTATGTCCTAACCGTTGTCAGGGTGACAAACGGGTTCGGAAGCTGCGTGGCCGGATCATCATGCTGACTTTGCGTAGGGAGTAGTAGTCAGAGTCTCTCCAGGAGTACCAGACGATCCCATCAGGACCCAGCGGCCCCCGGCCTTTAGGGGTGTAATGGCCTCCCTGCAGGATTAAGAGGTTATAAACACTCGCATGACTTTAAAAGTTTAAAGTCAGGGGTTATCTGTGAACACTTACCCTGTAGTAGACCCCATTAAGGTTGGCATAGAAGCACTGGTTGTACCACCAACCGCCATGGGAGATCTCAGCACAGATGTTGCCACTGTCGGGGGTGCTGAAGCCCTGCTTGTCGTGGTACCAGCTAAAAGAGTCCAAAACTGTCCCGCTAAAGCCTGACACATGAAGACGGTACTGATGCTCCTCGTCTTCCACACTGCACACACAAAGACATACAGAGGAACAGTAGGAAATTAGGAAGTTTACCTATGTTCCCATGGTCCTAAGTTCCCTAACCCCCTAGCCCCAAAACCCTAGATCTGGGGTACATAGGACCTGCAGCTGGTTGTGCATGCTTGCAGTAATGTTGTCAACTGTTTGTGTACTTGTGCATGACACCAACCTGAAGCTCTGGTACAGGGCATGTTTGTGCTTGTTGCTCCAGTCCTCCAGGTGGATGCGGAGGCTGTAGTCTCCCTGGGTGCTCAGGTCATGTATGTGTTCGTTGCCCAGCCAGAACTCTGAGTGCAGGTCACCAAAGCCGTCCTTGTAGTCCCTCCAGCTACGGTCAAAGCTCACTGAGCCGTCAACACGTCGCTGGATCACAGTCCAGCCACCACCTGAAGCAAAAAGAATGCATCGCACTGGAAGGGAAAGCATATACCACGTCTAATGGGTTATTATTCTTTGCTCCCATCTGGCCAAAGGAGGTACACAGGTCCTACAGCAAACCTGGAGTTTAGTCTTGCTCAACAACACCAGAGAAGAGTGACTGCATCCCAACACATGGATTGAAACTCCTTATGTCCATGTATGTGACTCACCATCTGTGTCCATATCACAGTAGACCTCCACTGGCATGCTGGCCAGAGATGGCACTATCGTGTAGAGACCTGATCTCCTTACTCCATTGTAGTAGATGGAAGCACAGTCTATGGGACAGTTCCTCACATGCTGAATCTCTGAGGGAAGAAAATGTGAGACAGGGTTGAGCTGGAGTAAACCAACAATGGCAGATTGGCGCCCTCTGGTGGCAGATCATAGCATGTGAGACTCCATGTTGCATACCTGGGTGCAGAGCTTCTTGAGCACTCATCAGTGGGTTGGGGCGGACGACATTGATCGAGCACCCAGGGCTTCTTTTTACTCTGTCCACCAAAAGTGTCAGATTATGGAGTTGGCTCTGAACAGAAGTACAGTAAAAATATTAAAAACCACCCTGTGCACTTGGGTTTTGAGGTTTTTGTAGCTCAATTGTTTTAAGAACATGTCTAAAATACTGAAAGTAAACTAGTACTGGGTATACCTGAAGGTCTAGGATCAGAGTGCCCTGTAGGTGCAGCAGGGTGCTGGCTTCAGCGTAGTGAACCTCCAACTCATGAAAACGCTGCTCCAAGGACATATTCACGTGGTTCCTCTCATCACTCTGACACCAAAAAATCAAATCAATTAAAAAAAATCAATTTCTAAAAATATAACTTCCCATACACATCTGCACAACATGCACACACATGCAGTTTTTTCAGCTATAAATGACACACTGGGTATGTTATTAGAACTGATTAAACTAACAAAACAACACTGATGTAAAATATGTGACAGTTATGAACTATCATCACTTTTAATTAAATAATGTAGACTGGCTTAAGTATGCTCAATGGTTAAATGTATTTCTTTCTTAATGTTTAAAAGTAAAGTATCTCACATTTTAGTTTTTCAAGGACATAAACATGCACAGAAAAACATGCATTGATTCTTTTAGACCTCTGCTTTGTGTATTGCAGCAATGGTGCATTGTAGCAGATGCAGCATCTGACAGCTTTTCCCTGTTTTTCGCCTTCTGGCATCTTATAAGGTTTTTAATGCATTGATTTCAAAGTTGTTAGCTTGTTCCTTCTGTTTTGAGATGTTTGACAGCATAATATAAAAATGCAGTTATTTTAAATGCTGCCTTATTTCGTTATATGCTGACATCTGTTATCTTAATATTAACATTCTAACATGCAACATCTCCCAGTACTCTCAGGACAAAAATGACTCGTCCTCTCTTGTAAAACTTAAAGCCAGGCACTTCAGTATGCGGTCTATTCTGGGCCTGGTCATGGAGGATAACACTAACTCCCATTACCACAAACCCTGAAGCCCTTTCCCCCTGTCTCGTTCTCATGTACAACACACAACACACAACACACAAACCCTTTTCACCATCCACCTTTGGCCACTGGCCAGTCCAACTCAGAGTAGTTTGTATAGGCTCACTGCTTGAGACGCATGAGGCAACACGTGGAAGAGTAGGAGGCTAATCCTGTTAGTACCTAAGGTCAAGGACATGCTGGTGGAAGCCAGCTTGATGACCAGGCACCACGTTAAGTGCAGAACTGTACATAGCTAATGTCATGTGTTTCAGCACAGGGAAGGGTTTTTGATAGTGACTGCAAAGAATGCTCACTATCAGCCAGTCACCGTATACAGAGAACAATAGGAGTGGACTCCTTACTTTCAAATCAATGGTGAAAGTACATATTAAATCAAACCACGTTCAAGAGTTATTTGATCAAATATTTATGTCTAGTCTAAACTGTCTCTCAACCAACTGGTGCTGAACAGAGAAATACAATAAAGAAGAAGTAAATATGTTCTAAAAAGTCTTGCTCTGTAAAGTTATATATAATGCTACACACACACACACACACACACACACACACACACACACACACACACACAGAATATAATAAGTTTACTTTTCAAATGAACAAAAAAGTTAGTTCTGTTACACGTCTAGTCTGTAGAAAGGAACCGTCACGTTGTCACAACATCCAGTGAGCTCCAGCTAGACTAAAGCAAGCACTCAAAGGATTGCTGCTGATAGTTGACCCATGTTTGTTAAGTCCATATGGGAGTCTCACCTGCAGCTCGAGGACTTTGATGCGGTGCCGGTGGTTCCTCAGCTCCTCCTGCAGCTCAGAGATGGTTTCCTTCAGAGCCACAATTTGCTGTTTCCTCTCCTCGTTCTCGTGCAGCCAGTAGGAAACCTCATCTGTGCAGCGAAACATATCCGGGCATTTCTGCTCGTCCAGCTGAGGCAATGTGGCCACCAGTCGACACATCCCATCCTCCAACACCTGTTAGATGAGATTTATGAAAAACAACTTCAGAACTGCTGTTGCTCAACAAAATATTTTCATCAATAACCGTAAGTGGGATTAAAATAGTCCAGCTGTGACTGTCAGCTTCACAGTGTACACTGGGTCTTCACCATGTCCTTACAAACCAGACACAAGCTTATC